ARSYKAAAAATTGTTAAGTCAAACCATTGTAAGAAGGGGTTGTCTGTGTGAACACACATACAATATATATTAATATTTGTTTAATTTCCAGATACCAGAAGGAGAAAAGAAACACTCCTCGACTTGTTTTCTGTTCCTTTCTTTTTTCCTTTTTTCCCTGTTGTTTTAAGAAAGCATGCTGCTGCCTGGAGCTAAGCAGGAACGGGGCCTCATAAAACCACAATCCTGCAATTGCTGGTCTCACCAGAATATCAAGCGCTTTAACCCATCACACTATTAGTAGAACTTGGGACCCAGAGGAAATGCACTCAGCTCAGCTGGGCAGGCCAGATTTCCATAAGGGGGAGTATCGGGGAGAGAAAGGAGGGGGAAACTGATTCTTTAGCTCATAATCAGGAAATTCACATCAACAGTAAACTAGGAAAAGAGGCATTTGTTAAATCTGAGTTCATTTTTMAAGAGAAGAGAAGGGAGGCCTTCACCCACAGGGCATCTGATACTTAAAAAGATAATTATCCTTCTTTGGCAGGGTTGCTTTATTATCATGGGTCAATGAACCGTTTAGAAATGAAGAATTTCCTTTCATTTCCTTTTAGCAGATTGCTAGCCTCCACTCCCTCTCTGAGTTACTTTTTCTTTGTTAAAAGGGACTCAAAGCCATCTTCCTCCTCCCTGCTTTCCTTCACAAGCACCCTCACTTAGTCCCTGACTGCACCAAACCACAGCCAGATGACAACCAGGCAAGCTTCCAACAATAGCCATAATTGCTGGGTTAGGCTCTGTCCCTGCACATCAACCAGGTGGAGGAAGGGACAACATTTTACTTAAAACAATTGCTACTGTGAAAACTGGTGATTCTAATGTCAACTTAGTAATATCAGAAATAACCAAATTTTTTTTTCTTTAATGCCATACACACACACAAAAAAAAACCTTTTTTATTTCTACTTGCCTGATGTGAAGACCTGGTTTGATATAAAGTTAGTGGCTCAAGATATTTTAAGAATTAAGTAAAAGTAGCTGAATTTGCCACATGCTTTGTCCTTGGTTTACCCATCCCAGAGTCATATCATATTCACATTTATTACTTTCATTGACCATTAATAGTAGTCCTTTGTGTCACAAAAAAAATTCAACAGCCTCAATGCACTTTCATTTCGGTAAATACTCTGCACCAACAATTTTGTACAACATTGTCCTGACACATATATTCCTTACAATCTAACCCTTTGTTAAGAGTCACCTTATTTGCATATAATACACACTTTTATGTGCAAATGATAATTAGATGAAATAAAAAGAACTTCAGGGGTGTTTACTTGACATGTGTTACTGTTGGATGATCATCATCTTTGTTTGGTTGGTGCCCAGAGAATGGGCAAGTAGACAACTCAACATGGAAGTGACCACAACAGGTAGGCTCCTCAGGACTCGCCCACAGGGGTTACATTGGTCTAGAGTCACTCAGAGTCAGGCTCTGGAGCTCATGCAAGCATCTGAGCTGGCCAGCAGCAGACACAGTATCCAACACCCTCCCTGGGGCCCAATGAGGAGGAGTCTCAAAAAGCAAGGATCAACCATCTTCTCTCAGAAGCTTTAAACCCAGAGCAGAAAAGAGCCTGTGCCTTTACCTCGCCTCAGGCCCCCTCCTGCCTGCTGCCCACCTGCCTCCCAAACCTCCCCATTATCCTGCTTTCCTTTGCACACTTTGCACCTGCCATGTCTGCCTTCTTTCTGTTCCTCAAACACACTAGGTTCCTTCCTAGTGTGGAATCCTTTGTTGGCGCTGATTTCTGTCCAGAATTCGATTCCTTTTTATTCAGATTCCAATTCCAATGACACTCCTCAGAGAAATAGTCTATGATCACAATTTAAATGACTCCCCAGTTACTCGCTCATACAATCCTCTGATAACGCTTCCCAGAGCCATGCTGCTAGTTTGGGGTTGGCAATTACATAGTCAAATGAGCCATCTCCACAAGAGGACACACTTTTGTCTTTTTTTTTCTTTTTAATTCTTTCATCAGTGCCTAGAACACCAGAGACACGTAGGAATACTTACTACTGGAAGAGTGAATAAATGGTAAACCAAGTGCTCCTATCAGCCACCTCTGAATACTAAGACCCCAACAATACTGAGATATGAATTTTCCATCACACACAAAATTGGGATAATCTGCAATTTTTCTTTCTAATTCAAAGATGTTTATCCTTAATATGTGACCGGTTAGAATGAATGCTGGATATGAACTCAGAGATCCAAATTTATTTTTAATGTAAACTAATCTCATATGAGCTTAAAGGAGGTGTAAATATAAAGGCAAAATTCTTTCTTAAGATGCTTTTATAATGAAAAAGAAGTGACTTTGAGAAGTGTTTCTGTTCAGACTCTCAGATAAACTATTTATGTAAATGTTGCCTTATATTGTGACTAAGGAATGYAGTTAGCTTGCTTATTTTATGTATTTATTTACTTATTTATTCATTTACTTTTGGTACTGGGGATTGAACCCAGGGCACATAACCACTGAGCCAAGCCCCCAGCCCTTTTTCATATTTTTATTTAGCAACAGGATCTCGCTGAGTTGCTCAGGACCTCACTAAGTTGCTGAGGCTGGCTCTAAACTCCTCCTGCCTCCCTAGCCACTGGGATTACAGGTGTATGCCACCAGACAGACCCAGCTCAACTTATTTATTTAATGAACATTGGGCATCAGGTGTATGTGGGCACCTTTAGGCTCTGAAAGTAATAAAGGAGACTAAGAGGTTGCTCCTTTCTTCTCAGTCCAGGAGATGTTTCTGTACAATGGGGAGCACACAGGTATGCAGAGAAGGGTGCAGCAAAGCAGAGAGGAGCACCCAGTGCAGTGGAGGCCTGCAGCCTCTAGAAAGCAAAGGGTAGCCACAGGGAAGCTCTGAGCGGAACAGATTACCCTGCAGGTAGCTGAAACTACAAACAGATCATGGAAGACTTACAGCAGGTCGGAGAACTTTTTCTGTGAAGGAAAAGATGGTAAATCTTTTGGGTTTCATGGGTTATATATGCCTAAGTAGCCACAGTATCAAATACAAAAACTAATAAGCGTGGTACATTCCAGTAAACCCTCATTCACAGAAAGAGGAAGCAGGCCAGTTAGTTCATAGGCCTCATAGTGCCAACACCTGGTTTGGAGGGATCACA